AGAGAGAGAGAGAGAGAGAGAGAGAGAGAGAGAGAGAGAGAGAGGTATCGCGAGGCAACAAGGCACTCTCGACAGTGTCCAATTTCATCGTTCGCGCTCTTTCGCGAGTCGCACCCTCGTTGGCTCTGCACCCTTCATCGAGCCGACCCTGCGAGACCGGGACGTTCCTCCCGCGCTCTCCCCCTCTCTTCCTACCCCGTCGCACTCACGTACTCTGTCATGCCGATCCATCTTCCTTTCTTCCTCCTCCCGACGGTCACCGTTTTCCTCTTTCTCGAATTTCCACCCCCCCTAGCTCTTCAGCTCTCCGCACTCCGCGCCGATCCCAAAAGTCTGCAAACTGAACGGGCGCGTAATGAATGCGTTCAACCCTCCCAAAGTAATCAGCGACGTGGGGAGAGGACAGGGTGAGAGCTCGGAGTACTGAAGGGAGAGGGTAGTCTGCGGAACGAGGATGGGAGAGGGCGGGAGTGATCGCGGAGGGTAGAAGTGTCCTCTCTGCCGGCGGGAGATACACGGTCCACGAAGGTGGAGGAGATGGAACGCCGCGGAAAGCAGAAGAGAGAGGGAGAGCGGGAGAGGCATGGTCGTTGAACCCATCGCCGGCCGGGAACACTCTGGAACGGGGAACCGAGGGATACAGGATCGCTTTCCTGGTCCGGGTATATCGCGAGGATGTCTGCCTCCCTTCCTCTCTTCCTCTCTTTCCCGTTACCACCCTCGTCCGCGGAATAAAAAGGACGACGGGAGTTCTTTTTTCGTGAAAAGCGTATTTAGACGCTTAAAACGGCCGCGCGAAGACGATCGATTCGATCGAGAGCTGGTCGTTCCGTGAGATCAACCGATCTCACGTGCGTAGTATGAGTATGTGTAGACAGCCTCGGTTGCAGACGAATTTACCTTCCACTTACAATATTAGGTCTACCAGATCCGAACGAATATCCGATCACTCATCAATTTTCGTAAAGGGTTCGGAAAAATTTCAAAATAGTATAAATGTGTCTGAAGATTTTGATATTGCTACGCTATTATCTTATCATTGAAGCGTTTCTATATCTCGAGGAAAAAACATGTCCAAAAATATTGATTTTCAGCAAAGTTGTTTAATTTAAAGTTGTCTACTGAGTCCAAATTGCATTGTATGCTTTAAAAGATATGATTGTGCGCGGAAGGTTAAGATCGTTAGAAATTCCATGCGTTGAAAAGCTCTCTCTCTCTCTCTCTCTCTCTCTCTCTCTCTCTCTCTCTCCCCCTATCTCTGATAACTATGTAAGGTTTCAGCTTTACCATATCATGAACATTAGACACATTAAGATAATTGCACTAAAAGACCCTAAGAATCTCTACCTTCACTATGTTTGTCCTTTGAGACTCGATCGGATTGCAAGGTGAACGCTTATACCGAATTCAACATGTCGAGAGGTACGATCGCGAATAAAATATCTCGAAACTACGGATTAAGAGACTAAAATACAGCCGATCAAACGTCCCCCTGTGCGTAAGTTCTCAGCCGTAGGTAAGCTCTCGACATTTAATTAGCTCGCGCTCTGATCCATTAGCCGCACGAAAACAGCATTCAGAACTTTAAATAAACGTCTTCGGGCGACGAGATTTATTCGGCGGAAGACGGCGGCGCGGAGATCACTTTGCTAATGAAGCAGCTTTTGAACTCGCCGCGGTGAGGAGACTCCGCCAGACTGTAATTTCGGGAATGCGCCGGCGGCGACGTTAACGCGCACGGAACGACACGCCGATATCCACGTCGCGAATCTCAGCGACGACGTGTCCGTACGGTACCGCATTATACTCGCGGCAAGATCGGTTATTCATAATGCAAGGTGCAGTTACTCGTGCGGTTCTCTCTCTCTCTCCCTCTCGTGCGCGCACGCGGCGTCTGTCGGGACTCGCGCAAAACCGAACGAGTTGGACGTGCGAGCGAGCGAGCAAACGCGGGCCATTAAATCCCGCCATTAAATCCCGCTTTCCGGCGATGCTTCTCTTGAGATTGACTTTTACATATTCTAACCTTGAATCCCGTGGATTAGCCTCTCGTCTCTTAGTAGTTTCGCGCGCTTACGGTGGCTTATGTCACTTCATGCGGCGAACGTGCGGCCCCTCACATCCCACCAGCGGAAACACGACTTTCGGATTCGCAAACATTATCAAAATCACTTAAGGATCTCGATCTCTCTTTCTCTTTCTCTGGAGGAAGCGCGTTGGATCCACGACATTAGAAATGTTAATGCACCGATTAATCCTCCGAGAGAATCCGCAGTCGTCAGCGTTTCGTCAGTCGGCAATCTCGAGGAAGTCGATTTAATTATTCGCCGGAACTTTTCAACTCCTTCGACCTTTTGACTTTCCCAACGTTAAGCTCGTTAAGCTGACCAAGCTGCGAGTTGAAATGAATCGCCCGAGTGTAGAAAAGGTCTGCTTTTACGCTCTGATTTTCGATCTCGACCGCCCGATATTCGCATAAAAATCTTCCAAGATTTTTCCTGATGCAGCGTGAATTCCGATTATAATGCCCAAATTTGCTGTAAAATTGGTTGTCATATTACTATTGAATAATATAAATACGCGTCTATTAATTCATTTCATGGTCCTGATCAAGTTGATTTCAATCTGGTTTATATAAGGTGACGTTATCGAATCTCGTTTATCAATAAAATCCTAATTAGTAATAATCCCTATTATTAATAAGATTCTGATTATCGTGCTGCATTACATGACTCGATAACATCACCTTATACAAACCAAATAACTGATTGGGATGATCAGGACCGTGAGATAAATTTCTACCGAGTATGGGAATCCGCGCTTTTTTCCGATCGATATTCCGACTTTTATGGTATCAGAATAGGTTCTCCATTTTTATACCAACTATTATATTTAATAGGGAGAATAAGAAATAAAAATATACATTATTTATAAGATACTCTTTGCTTATTATATCGTGCATTAAATTATTTGGCAAGTCAAGATATCTTCAGTTCTAATGTAAAGTGAGCACCAGAAAGGTGGCTGGAAAAACCTTGAGTTGCCCGCTTAGAATCGCACGTTTGATCGCACTACTAACCAAAACCCATAATTATTTTGAAGAATCGTACTGGAGCCCAATTATAGATTCCGAGAAGAAGTCCTCTATGCGGAGGAAAGCGCGTCGCGTTGCCAGAAGTCCGCTATCGATCGCGGACTTTAAACGCGCGCGGTTTCGCGTCGCGTTATCGATCTCCACTCGGGTTGCGGTAGATCTGGATCTGGCATTTAAGTCGCCCTCTGAAAACGGGTTTTTAACCGGTCCGTCGGATAATTCCATTGACGTGGACGGATGCGCGCAACGGACGATTTCGCCGATTCACCGGTAGACTATGCGAGCAGGCAGGCACGAAACGCCTCGGGATGCCCTCTCCCCCATCTGTCTATACATTTTTCTTTGATGCCTCGTCGCAGAATACTTCGGACAAACGAGGCGGAACGGACGTTCAACCGTGAGCAGACGGGCACCGCCAGTGCCGAGTCTGTTCCTGTCCGGGCCCTCGCACTCCGGGCTCCTCCGACACATTCGCGTCCCGAGGAAACATCAGCCACCTGTACCCTCGAATTTAAACGCGTCAAAACAGGATCCCGTTGTTTAATCCCGTCCCAGAAAGCTCGCTCGCGAAGGACCCTTCTGTTGACTGTTGCTATCTTCGTTTGGACACCGTGTCTTTCTTGCATTTGGTTCCGACGTTTCGTGAAACAGCTTCAGGTCGCTCTGCTTCCTGAAGAAGTGAACGAAAGGTCGGAACCAAATACAAGGAGGACGCGCTCTAAAGCCGGAAAACGAGCGAAATATTGGACAAGCTTAAAATATCATATCACCATCTTGTTTTTGATGCCGAAAATAAGGGAATAGATTGTTTTGCAAAGGCTAATATGGAAAATCTGTTTTAAAAGTAGAAGACTTGTGAAAGAAGAGCAAAGAGATTTCGCTTTTCGTTCGCGAGTGCCGCGGGGCAGAAGTCCTGCGAGATACGTCCCTCATCAGGATCCTTCGTCAGGATCGAATCGGCAGCTCCTCTACGCAACGGTGCCTCGTGAAATCGGAATTCCATAGCGCGTTTAACGGCCCTGACGGCGGGAGATAATGCAGTTCGTGAATAATACGCGAGCGCGATGGTGCCGGCGCGCTCGCACGTGCAGGAAATAGGCGGCACTTTGTTTTCCGTCCGCGGAAACGCACGAAGGTACCGAGACGTTGCTAATGCAACGATCGCGCAATTCGGTTATCGCACGACTCCTCCACCCTCTCTGCGTCAGAGCCTCCTCAAGGAGCTTTTTCATCGACGAGGTCATCCGCTTTTGTATTTTTAACTCTTCGCGCGTACATTATTGGGTTAGGTTAGTTTACCATAAGACCGTAACTAATATTCGATCGCTCACCAACTCTCGAATTCCGGGAGAATTTCAAAATTACGCAAATCTGTTTGCCGATTTTTATTATATTGCGTCATTGTCTTACAGCCAAGACTTCTCTATATCTTTGGAAAAAAATGTGAACAAAGATATTGATTTTCGACAAAGTTATCATTTATTTTACATTTTTCTGGGTTTGACAGATCCAGATTGCACTGTACAAAAAATACGATCGTTTTCTCGAAACGTTGCGACATTGACAGTTTTATAGCTATTTTTCGCTATTTTTATGGCAATTGCAAGGTGGAAGCGCGACGCTCTTTTGCCGAGCTGACGCGGAAAATCGGTGCGTTCTCCCGCGATAGCCAATTAAAAATCTGATCGTTAATCGTCATGTCACACTCGTGTGCAGGTTACTTGCTGACGAGAGTCGAGAAGAAGATCGGTTCGCCGGAAAAGCCGCTGTCGGATCTGGGCCTGATCTCGTATCGCAGCTACTGGAAGGACGTTCTGCTGCAGTACCTCTGCAATTTCGGCGGCAAGGAACTCTCCGTCAAAGGTAGGTCACGCGAAGCTCTACGAAGCCGCAGCCGCCAACGGCCGCGCTCTGACTCTCGCATTTCGGGACGGCTCTTAAATATTCATGTGCGGATCGAAAGTGTGCAAACGCGGCCCTCTTCCTCTTTGAGCCGCTAATTTGACTCCCGGTTTTCAACCTGCAATATTAATCAAATTGTATTGTGAATATTGCACTTGCTATGCATAACGCACGGGAGTTGACGAGAGAAGCTCTTTTTCGGTCACCTTTCGGCTTTGGGAACATCATTACAAATAGAACATTTGTTATTTAGGCTTTTGAATATCTTTCTTTTCTTATTTATGGCACTGATGGCAATGCAGATTAACCTGTCGTCGGAAAGATGGCTTCTGAGAGACTTCACGCATTCCATTTTGTTCGTCTTAAATCTTTGTATTATCTTTAGAATTTTTTTCTGTTAGCTGTTACTAAATTTCAATACTCCAAAGAATTATGAGAGATTATAAGGTTTAAGAAATTATAAAAATATAATAAAAAAATTAAGAAAAAATCCACCAAATTCCATCTTTCCAATGATGAGTTCATTTGATTGAAATGTTTCAAAGTATTTTGTAAAATACTTACATTTATCCAACATCGATTCAGGAGGATTCGCCTATTTGACCATTTGTCGCATTTGGCAGGAAGTTTCGTCGCTTTGAATTAGAAGTTTGCTGCATTTACGGTAGAATTTGCGCGGAGCTGTACAAAATACATAATAATCTCTGTCTCGACGGATACTGGTAGATTCCATTTTGGGTTTTGTGCCTCGAGACGAGGGAATCGTCAGCGGGGGATTTACACCGCACTGTTATTGATCCGATGGTCAAGTTTTCCCAACATAACTGGTTTTAGCGGTTGAATAATTGTATCCACGGGGTAGGATAAACCATCGTTGAAAACCGCAGCGGATTATATATGATTCATCATTTCCGCATTTTCGCGATTGCTACTACAAACCTTGATTTAAGTTTATTATCATTCATCGGGTGGCCGACTGCGTTAAATACGAATCAATATTATATCAATCAACACAAAAAAGATATGTATTTGTGTGTGTGTGTGTGTATTTTTAATCAAGGGCCTCGAAGCGCTGGAATCGAGCGTGACTAATTGAAGAATTTAATGGGAACAGAATACCTCCCAAAATGTGTTTCTCACGTCACGAACTGTTCGATAATGTTCTCGTTTCTCCGCGCGTGAAATATCAATCGTTGATAAATTTGCCAGAGTATATACGGAGAAAATATTGTAATAAAAATTACAAATTAACAAATTTTGTAATCTTCATCGATCGTACAGAAATGATGACTAAAATTATTATTGATTAAAATTACTATTGCTACACAAATTGATTTTAATAGAAATGTTTTTTATCATGTATAAGTTATTTATACTACAAAGTCAGTCATATGTAGTTCTGTTTTACGGAGAACATAGCGAAATGAAATATAATCTTAACGTAATGGCAATATTTTCTCCGTACGCGGTTCATCGATCTCGTGTCTTTTCGCTCGCCCCATCAATTTTATCACACTCGACGTCTTAAGTGACGCGACGAACGAGCTTCTTCGACGAAATCGTGCTAGTCCGTTTCGGGATTTTCCCATCGTGAGGTAACTCTCGATATATTCGAGAGCGCGGCGTATATGTGTGCACGCGCGCGAGACAGTGATTTTTTTTTGCAGATATCAGCAAGGAAATGGCCATCGACTCGTACGACATCGTCAGCACTTTGCAGGCCCTCGGTATGATGAAGTACTGGAAGGGCAAGCATATCATTCTGAAGAAACAGGTAGGCGGCCCTTTGTTATTGTAATTCGCCGCGCAGACGTAGGGCTCCCCCTACGTTTCGCGCGAGGAGAGATAGCGTCCATTCTTTCTCGCGAATACGCGCCGTCATCGCGCCGTCAGATTTATCGCGCCTGGTTTCAGAAATCGTAGCTAGAAACTCGCGATAAGCATAACAACGAGAGGCTCTCGTCTCGAGACGAGAGAGGAGTTGCTGCGCCCCGTCGCGATTTTTACTCGTGTAATTTATTGACGCAACCAACCGAGTCGGCCGAGTTGCCGAAATTCCCGCGCGGTATTATCGCGTCTATAAATAACGCTCGACGACAGAGCCTCGGCGGGAACGTGGTGTGGTGCGTTCTTTGTCCTCCGCGTATTAATGCCGTAGCGATAGGTGTGACGAGAAATCGTTCGACTCATTGTGGCACTACGAAACCAAAACACCCCCTTCGCGTAAGAGGCAGACGTTTATCAAACTTTGCGATTTCCCGTAAGTCGAACGCGAGCGAGACAATTCCTAGCCGTTTTGTACTTTCTGACCTTTCAATCGAAAATATATCGTAACGACCGTGATTTTGACACGTCACACATAGGAATCTTTCAATGTTTTCCTTAGATATTCACATCTTAATAAAATTGGCTCATTTTAAGGCTCCTGATCAGTCAGCCGAGAACCACGTTGACGGTGGCGACATGGTTGCAAACGATAAAATGGTGAACTGTTAAACTATTAGAAGATAAATCTGTTCGTTTCCTTCTGCACTAGTGCAGACTATGCAATAAGAGAGAGTTAGAATGAAAGAAATATTACCTGACTCTCTTTAATTTATTGCATTAGTACAAGAGTTTATCGAAAACGAATTAACCTAATGATGTGAACGGACGACCAATTTTTTCCTGCAAATTTAACCCTGCGGGAATTTTGGGCATCGTTTTTCTCGCTTCTGACGTCATCAATCCAATATGGTCACGGTGACTGGTCAAGAGCCGTAAGATTATATTGATTTACATTCGAAAAAGTGTTCTCCTTTCTATGGTAAGACGCATACATTAACACCTCTCGTGAGACTGTTGTGTTGCACGCAACAAAATGACTTAATAATGTCAGCTAAATCTCAGTGACTGATTCAAATTTAGGTAAAAAACTAATCGTCTTCTTGCTATCATTGCTAAGAGTTGGCTAATCGGTCACGACACACGAATTTTTCAAATAAAAAGGGCAGCATAAACGCGTGCTTAAGAGAGGTTGCTTCTTGTTTCATGTCGTTACGTCAATTCGAATTTCTAAAATTGATATGCTTAAAGAACAAGAGATTTCACAAACAGTACGACTTTCACGTGAAAAATATATCTTTCAGAGAAAGATACATTTGATTAATATCACATTATGAAACAACAAGGATAATCCGGTGTTCCGGCATAAACGCGATATCTCTGCTATGGCGAGACGCGCGCGACCGCAACCGCTAATTATAATTCGGCCAATTCGTCCGTAACGTTTCCTCATCCTCGCCGTTGTGCATCCGTCGACGATCTCATCTGAAACGTTGGTCGCGAGCGTGGCGGAGCCACGGACTAAAAGGAACATTGAAATAATTTCAGGACGTGATCGACGACTACAAGGAGAGGGTGAAGAGACGGGGCCCCGTCTACAAAGAGATCGATCCGGAGTGTCTGAAATGGAACCCCTTCCAACAGCCCAAGACGCCCTCCGCCTCGAACTAAGGCCTGCGGAAGCCTGGAACGACGCCGCCACCCTCCGCCTCTACCTCCGCTCTTGTCGAGACTCGGCTCCGAACGACGGTCGATCCTCGCCTACCTCCTTGTCGTCGTTACCGTCGCCACCTTCGCAGTCGACGTCGTCGTCGCCGCCGCCGCCGCCGTCGTCGTCGTCGTCGTCGTGTTCATTCGTGTCCTCATACTTCTGGTCAGCTCATGCGTCGCAGGAAGCCGCCATCGACAGATTTTTCACGCCCATAATGTTCGGTAAGAGCCGTGGAAATCCTCCTGGCAACCACCTCGTCCTGCCCGGGGGTTACGGCAGACGGCGATGAGTATCGTATTCTATTGACGATATCGTTAAGGCTCGCCGCAAGCGAGACTTTATGTCGATTCAAGAGCGTATTGTGACACAGAGTTGAATCTACAGACCCCGACTATTGACCGTTATAGTATGGGAGGTAGGAAGCTATCGTTACATAACGTACAATAATTCTGTATTCCGCGCTTACTACCTGGAGATACCTGAAATTCTCGGCGAATCCTCCTCCAAACTGAGAAATCGAAGAATTTTCTCGCGAAGTTTTCGTTCGGATTATCTCCTCAAGGTTGCAGTCTATATTTCGGAAACTGTTGAGGATTGCATGAAACTTTTCGATCCTCCCTTCGACATTCCTCTATATTTTGTGAACTGGAATGGCTCCTTTAACTCGTTCGCTACCAACGTGTGACGCAACGATCTATAAACCATCGAGCTATAGACCAGCGTCACACGTATGAAAATCGTTCCTTCTATATTATCAAAATAAATATTACAGAATTACGTAAAAAAATACAAAATGAGTTGTGAAGAGATTTCACCTGAGTAAACTGTGGTAGCGAACGTGTTAATTTTTGTTTTCGATGGACGGATCGGAAAACACTAAAAAAGTCCGCGAGGGACAAATTTCGTTTAAATTCAAGAATGTACTAATTTTACACGCAAGTATAAAAAGTTCCGGGAAAATTGAGAAATTCTCGCAGAATTTTTTTCGATCACGATTGAATAGACATCTTAGTATATAAATCGGGTAAGAGATATTTGCACGTAACAGATATTGCTAAACCGACAGCGATAAGCTTCCTTTTTTCTCTCTCTCCTCTCTCTCTCTCTCTCTCTCTCTCTCTCTCTCTCTCTCTCTCTCTCTCTCTCTTTCTCGCGCGCGAGCACTACGTCGATGCTGCGCCGAGTTCGTTGGTGCATCGACCTTGGCACCTCTCATTGGTGCAACCTCGTTGGTGCAGTAAGTTGCATAACGGGCGGCGCGATAACGCGCCGGTGCATCGATCAGATTGCGTCGAATGCGCTTACATGCGCTTACATGCGCGAACAGTGGACCGCCGATGAAAATTTCCGGTCATGTCCGCAAATTTTGTGGCAACCCGCGAAGAAATATGCGAGAACGATATCGTGTCTTCCACAGGAAAAGAAAAATTATTCACGCGCGTTTACATGATCCAAAAAATTGTATCCTTTCTTAACACGCTAAGTGCCATCGTGAACAGAGACTGTAATGAGAGTTGTATACTGCTTGCGATCGATTAATGTAGAACAACTTTTATATGGAGAAAATATTGTAGTAAAAATTACAATATAATTTTAGTATCCGGGAATAGACTATTACGAAAATTATAATAAAACACAGTAAAAATGACTCTAAGCATGATCATTTTTAGTATATTTATGATAATTTTTACTATGTTTATGGTCACTTTACTATGTCTTATTATAATTTTTATCATAGTGCCAGTTTATTCCCAAGCAGTACTAAAATTATATTGTAATTTTTATTACAACATTCTCTCCGTATACGCAACTTAAAGCGAAACGGACATTTTTATACGGAGGTCCTAAATTATCAAGACTTTTTTAATTAACTTAAACAGAATTCAGCTAACTTTGGTCAAAATTTGTGAATCATTCATATTCTGCCACACAGAAATGTGATTAAGCCAACCCCTTTCCTTGCGTGTGTATGAGTGGTGCGCAGCGTGTTATTTCAACGTGGACGAAGAAAAATCAATTGCCTCGTTGAATTGTCTGTACAATTCGACGTGTCAACACTCGTGACATGTAATTCAGCGTTCAGTCCTGGTGCATTCGGGCTGGTCGCGATAATTTCTCGAGCATCGTGCGACGTGGAACCGCCCGTGTGCCTCTCTTCTAATCCGAATTGACTCGCCGATTCATTCGTCCGTTATTCATTGAATTGTCCGCGCAGTTGATATCAGCGTGTTAGGGAGGGAAAAATTAAACTGATCTGGCCGGCATCCTAACCGTTTAATTTTCGTGCGCTCGAGTCGGGGAATAACTTCAACGTTGAAGAGTACGCGTGACTATACCGTGACTATACTGCACCGCGGCCACAAGACATAGGCACGAGAGATACGTTATTGATCGGTCTACCAAGGTGCATGCTTGGCTGCAGAACAGAGAGCGAGAAAGAGAGAGGAAGGAGAAGAGAGACAGAGAGAGAGAGAGAGAGGGAGGGAAGGAGAAGGAAGGAGGGACTTGCCAACGATGCAGAGGCCCACCGGCCTCGATCGCGCCGTTGAGCAATGTGAAAATAACTTGGAAAGCTATCGAGTCAAGGTCGCGCAGGTTTAATTTAAATACATTAGTGTCTCTCTGGACGCACGGTCATACCAGGTTTGGGGCGAGGACCGATAGTTCGTTGCGCGCGTGTCGATAGCTGGAACAAAGTCGCAACGGCCGGCTCATTTCGGCCGCTCTCTCAGATTGTAACGGCTGCTCCCGATGTCTCTCCAGCTTCAGAGTGACGAGCGAGATACGCTCGATGAAACATTGCTTTCATTTTTCCGCGAACTCTCGAGCGAGCTCGCCGAACGGCGAACCTTATCCCCTCGTCGTCGTCGAGGTCATTTGCGCGAGCGTCGTTAAAAAAATATCGCGTCTTTCTATTTGCTCAATTACGATTGTTTCGTTCGGCGCACCTCTCCTCTTCATCGCATGGTTCCTTTCTCCTCCTTTCTTCCTCCGCCAATTTTAATTATTACTTTCCTGCTGGCGAATCTCTTCGCGATAGCGCGCCGTAGCGCGTAATTTTGTGTTGCTCACTTTAACCGACCGCGTCAGATTTTCCAGTTCATATCGATCATATTTCGTCCGAGCTTCGCCGTGGGCGACGCATACACGAAGAGAGATGTACAGAGAGAGAGAAACAGAGAGAGGGGGAGGGAGGGGGAGAGGAGAGCTCAGGCTCGTGAACTCGCTCGACTTGGCGCCCGCGCGCGATGTCAAACTATCGAGAGCAATCGCGAAACTCCGGGCGAGCCGAGTGACGTGTGTTCTCCCCAAGTGCGGGATCGCGGGTACCGGACGTTTCGCGGCGGGTATCCTTTCACGGAGATTAGAACAGAACCGACGTAATTTCGTCGAATGTAGTTTCAGCCGGATCACTCGCGCAATCGCTATCGATTGTTCCAGTAAATCATAGAGATCGATCGTGCGCAGTTACCTTCTGCAGTTTCCATAAGTATTAATTAAAAAGTCAGCTTCGGAAACGAACGTTCATCTTTTCAGCGGTGAGAAGGAGGAGAAGAGAACTTTATTTATTTAATTATTTATTTGACGGAAGGAACCCGTTTATATAAGCCGATTGTGTTCAACACACGGAAGAGATCCTGACTGATCTTGAAAGTTTCATCGCTCGCACAGTAAATCGTAGAGATCGACGCTTAGTATTGTTTCCATAAATATAAATTAAAAAGTCATTTTCGAAAACGAACGTTTATTTCTGTAAGGAGGAGGAGGAGGAGGAGGAGAAGAAAAAAAAGGCTTTATTAGCCGCGATTGTGTTCAACACACAGAAAAGATCCTGACTGATCCTAAAAGCTTCAGTCGATCATTCGTCGTGCGTCTCGATCGTCGCAATAAATCATAGAAATCGATCGTATATTAGTATTTCCATAAATGTCAATTAATCCTGACAGTCACATCTAACCGAATGTATTGGTATAAATTACATTCAAACTTAAAAACTCCCAATGAGCAATGATTACAGCTTATATATACGACAGATAATTTAATAAACTTTAAATCAATTTCTTTTATAATATTTCTAATGAGAAAATAAATATTTGAATATTTGTCGGATATAAGTTTATTTCTGTGAAATATAAAATTTATTCCTTCTTATAAACTTTTTATTTCTCAGAATAAACTTTATATTCCACAAATAAATTTTCGAGCATTTTTTTTCTCAGTGTAGGAGAGATCGGAACTATTTAGGGTAAGTTGACAAAATCAATTGTTTCTACCGTTCTTTAACAGATTTCAGAGTCAAGCAAGCAGGGATTTTGAAGCTATCTTTGATGTGTTTAAAAATCGCTTAGTTTTGTAACTTGTTAGAAAATACTAAAAATAACCCGTAGCCAACTAGCCCCGGTCTCCCCTACATAAAATAAACGTGTGTTACTGTCAAGGTTCCGAATGTTCTTCTCGATGAGGAGAAGGAGGAGAAGGCGGCTTTATAAGTCGCGATTGTGTTCAACACACGGAAAGGATCCTACATGATATTGTCGCGATCCGAATTCGTGATGGAAATTGCAAGCACTTTTCGTCGCCTCGACTTAAGACCGGACGCGTTTATTTATTTCAACGAGCGATCGTGGCTCTCTTAACCCTTGACTCGTCGCAACGGGATCGGGCCGATCCGTTCCACTCGATATATTTTTCTATCCGATGATTCGCCATGTAGCGATTGTTTGTCTTCGCGGGAGCGCGAGAATGCCGCGCGTGACCGATAAACAATGAGACCCCGCCCGACGATGGTTGTTGGTCGGAGGGTTAATCGTGATGCTCGAGTGTTATATAGTCAATCGTGCGTGTACATAAAATGAAGAGGCGCGCGCGCGCGCGCGCGCACACGTAAGTTAAGGGAAATGTATACGTGTAGACAATGTATACACAGACTTTTGTAATCGTTGTTGTTGTGTCATCGTCGCGTACGCAATGAGACTGCGTCGCGACGTATGCAATAAAGTGTAACTATAAAAATTGGCGTTCGCTCTTAATTCGTCTCATTGAGATCGTCTCGCGGAAAACCGCGAGGATCAAGAAAACCTTTCTCCCTGTATTTCTTACCACTCTGAGAAAAA